TTATTCAGGAGCCTCCGATTCACACTTTCATAGCCGCTTTTGAAAGCTCAAGTCTTCCAGACCTGTTGGGTGGTTATGTTTTAGCATTCTCCCTTAAACACTGAATTAAAACATGTAACTTCCCCCTCACCTTTCCCCTATTTTGTTTTGTCGTGCTCTCGCGTATTTCCTGTTAATCAATTTCAAACATTTCACTCAATTTTAAATTTCTACCCTGTGTGGGATTAATTGACTTGTTCTCGCCCAATGAGTATGCTGAAAGTTTTGAATGTGTATTATTACGTAACCACTTATCCCCAAAACGACGTTTTTACTTAGATTTTTTTAGTTTGTTTGTTTGGCAATTTTCGGTTATTTGGAAAAATGAAATAAAGGCGACAAAAATTATAATATTTATAAATATGATAATTATAATGATAATGATGATGATGATGAGTACTAAAATAATAATACTAAAATTAACGAATCCTCCCGGAAAAATTAGATTGTGATCGAGATAATGAGTGTGCGATGTACTTCCTAACCACAGAGAATATGTTTATTAATTTACACTGGAATGTACATTTGACAGAGTAAAACAATATCTTCCAACGACATTGAGTATATTATTATACAAACAATATCAGAATAAAGAAGCTGGCGTGTAGGAAAATCTCGTGCACGTTATTACAACGTAATCACACTGAAACTGTTATCAATACCCAATGAAAAAGTTCATATGCGTGTTACAGAAGGTCAAGATCAAATGACTAACAGTTTTCTAATTTGTGGTGAAAACTTCAATTATGGTAAAACCTATTTGACCAACTTACGTAGTTCTATAGAAATTACTGCCTGCAGAACTGAATTCTTAGATCTTTGAGAAATATAAACAGCTCTACCATAAAACGCTTCACAGCTTCAAGTAAAGACACATTTTGCCCAGAAACCTAGAAGATGGGCAAATAATCTAGTTCGATTTAAGTTAAAAGCATGCTCCCTCCATCTTCCCTTTCGATGCAAAAGTCAGGCCTTTTCAATAATTTTTCATGAATTGCTAAGCCTCAATTCAACTCAATAATTTCCATATCATATGTCATTAATAGGAAAAACGTGACCTCGTCTTTGCTGTTGACAACGTATTCTAAATAGAGCAATGAAAGCTCTCCTATAGCCTGATATTTTGATAAGGTATAATATGGGGTTAATGAGAGAGTTCGCGTGAAATAAAAAAATGAAAAAGTAAAATAAACGAAAAGGTGGCGTTACCAAATAGTCAGAGGCTTCCATGACAACCCAGGTTACAAAGTAAGGAAGCCACAACGAAAGAGAAAGAAATGTTACAATGAACAATGTCGCTGTCAGTTTTCTTTCTCTCGTGGCAGCGTTATGATACAGACCTTGCGCACCGTGACGAACTTTGACATAAATTGAGGTGTAAGAGATACAGATTATCGTCAAGCAGAAGGCATTGAACAGATTCCATAAATAAAGATACTTTGACATTTCCCTTAATACTCTAAGAGTAATATTAGCCAATGAGATGGCTCCAGCTATAATCCAAGTAATAGCAATCAATGCTTTGTAAATCCACCTCTTTACAACACGATGTCTGAATGGCCAGTATGTTGCGTGTAACCGTTCCAAAGAAATGACAGTT